CGTCCCTGCCACCTACAATCATCAAAAAAATTAAATGCAACGTCGATTGCAATCTGCCGTCTTCCTGAAACCTGTTCGTTTATTGTCCTTTCAAATTACTAGACTTCTCTTTCTCTTCCACTTCTAGTAACCCCTTTGCGTCTTAATGGCATTATCACCTTGCTTCGGGTGAAATGATTAAAAAAATAATTCTGTGGTTAGTGTAACGACTATCAGCGCGGATCGTGAGATGGGCGAACCGAGTTCAAATTTTAGCTTTCAATTTCGCAACCACTACATGAATCCACCCCTTTTTCTATGGGTTAAATAGTAAGATATATTGAGTCCTCTGGCCTTGAGTAGTAACCGGTCTAGAAAAAGCACTCTGAATTTAAAGCTGTGTAGAAGTCAAGGTTATACATTGATAATATAGAAAGGGATTATGTGAAGGGCCGTGATTGCTTACGTCCTGATGGGTCCTAACTTTTTTTATTTATTCACGAGGGTGGGCTGAAACACTTTTTTTTTCATTAATAACTGCATTGTTTCTTTCCAGGTAAACTGATATCTGACTTTTCTTAGAAGTTGTAGTAAGCCCCAATAAAAATAAAATAAAATATCAAAATAAAAAAATATAAACAAAAAATAAAAAGAATTAAAACTAAAATTAGACATTTGCGCTTTCCTTTAAAACCCTTAGCTTTTTCTTTCTCTTTTTCTCTAAACTTCTCTTTTTGTACTACTCTCAACCCACGAGAAGGCAACCCTCAAATAAAAAGAGAAGGAAGAAGAAAAGATAAAACCCGGCTAAAACACCAGAAGTTTGCAGGAGCCGAATCTACTTATTTGTGACTAAAAGATACCAAAAAAAAAAAAAAAAAAAAAAAAAATAGGGGGAGGCTTCACGCATAACTTCCGTCATAAAAAATGAAAAAGAAAGGTACCCCGGAAAGTAAATTTGTCCATTCAAAAAAGTTGATACAAATAGGCTTTTGATGTTTACGCCAAACTCTCGAGCCTGGTGAAAAAGGATAAAAACCTTGCACCCCTGAAAGAAGAGCAGAGAGGAGACCAGAACGACGAAACAAAAAACAAAAAAAATAAAAAAAAACGCAGCCATGCGTGACACGTGAAGAAGCAAAGAAGTGTTCACCTACTGACATTTCTGCCCTGTTTCTAAACCAAAAATTGTCTACCGAAACGGACATTTCTCCAGACTGCGATCAATATCCACCTTGTTAATGAATTTTTTGCTTCGCCGAATACTAAAGGACTCGCAAATCACTTTAAATAAATAAATAAAAATATATTATTTATTTTTAACATTTGAGTCAGTTCGTTTTATTCCCAAAGTTTCCGATAAAATAAATATCCAAACTCCTATCCGCACTGGTAATGTCCAAGTAGGGAAACAATATGCCACAAAGTTTTCAAAATATACGTACGAGAGGAAGTCAAAAATTATCCGCACTTTTCACCTTATCTGTATCATGAGTGCGAATAATTTTTCGCTCGTACATTCGTCTACGTACATTCAGGCGTACAAGCACTTCCCCTGTTGATTACGAATTAATAAGTCTTAAAGAATGTAGAAACAAAATATCATAATTACAATAAGAAGGTGATAGCTGGAATTTCTGGGGCACATAATGAGGAAAGAGGACATAGAGAATTTAACACTTGCAGGGTATATTGAAAGCAGGTAGTCGGCATCCAGTCGCATCCGATCATCGGGATCGACATTCAAGGATTATCAGATGTAACAGGTACCCGAGAAAGGCCGAAGAATACATTGGCCGAAAATTTATTATAAGAACAACAAAGATGAGGATGTTTGTCTGATTCTTTATTTTGAATTTAAAAAAAATGAGAAATCGGAAATTCTTTGAGTTTGCTGTTGCGATCGAAGAGATTATCGACCCAGTCGATTGCTACAAGAAGAGTATATAAAACTAGCAGTAGAGCCCGGCGTTGCCCGGGGATGTAACAGTAAGAGATAGATCAAGTATCGACCATCATAAAGACTGAAAAATAAAATTGACAAAGATTATTGTTTAAGGTTGACGGACATGCATGTCTTAATTAGTTTTTTTTTTTGTTTTGTTTTTTTTTACGAATTGGTCAAACCCAAACTCAAACAAAAACATTGTTTTCAATCGTTATGAGTCTATCAATTAAATAGAATTTTATTATAAACAATTGTCTTGTAAATGGAATTTTTAAAGCATTCTGAATGTAAAAATAAAGAAAAAAGTGTGCAAGACAATAAGAAACACTACCTGCCAAAAAAAAGGTGAAGTTTTGTTGAAATCGGTTGAAAAATGTAGGAAATCCGATCCCATATATAAACGAACACACACACACACACACACACACACACAAGCAAACAACCTGGGTTTTATAATAAGTATAACTCGATATGAGTTGTCCCCCTTTCATTCTGGTGACAGAATCGTGTTTTAAGTGTTTTCAAATTGATTTCGTGCAAAAACAATTGTGTTTTCCGATTTTGGGCGCTGTTAGACCCACCGCAAGGTAATTTTATGCAGTCCTGTGAAGTTTTGTTGAAATCGGTTGAAAAATGTAGGAAATCCAATCAAATATATAAACGTACACACACACACACACACACACACACACACACACACACACACAATCTGCGTTTTATAATAAGTAAGATTAGCAATGATGATGATGAATAAGAGTGTGTCGACCCTCTGTAATGAAGTGAAAGATCACAAGATGGATTAAAAATGAGACATTTATATATCATCGTATATCAGGCAGTAAAAATCAGGATTTTTCTTTTCTTTGTCTTAATGTTTATACATGAAGCATCAGTGATGGGTGGGGGTATTTTCCTGATGAAGAATGTATCGACTCTGTGCATCGAAAGATAAAATGGATTAAAACTCGTAATATGAATTACAATAAGGAAGAGTGTATATCGCCAGGGAGTTGCGAGTAAAGGTAGAGTAATGGATAGCGGCTCGGATTGAGGAATCAGAGAGCCGAGTTCGAATTCCAGTCGAATCCATTACATTCACTTACGTGCTAATACCCTTGGGAAAGATATGAATCCTATTCTCCCCTCCCCAGCTATGGGTAAATAGCAGGACAGCCTTGGATGGCAACTGGTCTACCGCAGAAAAAAATGGCAACCTACTGCAGGAAAAAATCAACCTCGTCAGTCATGTATCGAAAGATACATGATCGCCTAAGCGTGTATCACGCATGACACATAACTGACTGAATGGAGAGCGACTAAGACTGAGGAATCGGAGAGCCGAGTTCGAAATCCAGTCGAATCCATTACATTCACTTACGTGCTAATACCCGTGGGAAAGATATGAATCCTCTTCTCTTCCCTCCAGCTATGGGTAAATAGCAGGACAGACTGGGTTCTATAGCCTTGGATATGTAGCAATTGGTCTACCGCAGAAAGAAATGGCAACCTACTGCAGGAAAAATTCTACCTCGTCAGTCATGTATCGAAAGATACATGATCGCCTAATCATTTATCACGCATGACACATAACCCTTGGGAAAAGTATGAATCCAACTTTACTCCGCTCCCTAGCTATGGGTAAAGAAGAGGAAAGACTGGGTTCTTGGGCGGCAACCGGTCTAAGAGAAGGAAAACATTGAATTCAAGACTGTATGTAGCACTGCCCCTAGCTATGGATAAATAGTAGGTCATACTGGGCTCTATAGCCTTGTGTGTCAACTGGTCTAGCAGTAGGAGCCCTGGCGATGTACATACTATGCAGTTAAGGAAAGGATCGTTCGCACTGACTCGATGATTCCGACTACTGTCGACTTCTTTTTGTGATAAAATAGCAATAATAGCATGAATGAATCTCGGAATTTTTATTGATATTTCACCCAATACAAGGCCCAAGAGCCGCTCAATGTAGAGGATTACTGAGTGACATTGTAAGGGAGGTGGAAGGAGTCATTATAGTATATCATTAACTAACCACTGCATGTCAGAGCAGACTAGCTTACAGGTTGCTGTCGAGACGTGATGACAATTTGTTAAGTTTTGTGTCGGCGGAGATAAGCATCAAAACTATCCGTCATCCTCCCTACAATCCAGACCTTGCTCCCCCGTGACTTTTAGTTGCGCTACAAGCTGAAGAAGAACCTCAGGCTCAGTCGTTTTGAAGATGAAGAAGGCTTGGACACCTTCATATTAGATGACTGCCATGGGTGGGGGGCTTCAAGAAGTGGCTAGAGCTCTACAACAAGTGCATTAAAGTTACAGGATCCTACTTTAAAGGAGATGAGAGTTTTTTTACTACATTGAAATACTATTCTTAAAAGAGCGCTCAATACAGAGGAGAGCAAATTTATGTAATAGCTTTTTCCCTTGCGAGGGATGTTTGATTGATTTGTACCTTTAAAAACCCTTTATTCTATATTCAACACCATCACATGATAAGACACTAGAAGTGTTGAAACAAAATGGCTATTTTTGTAGTGATTTTATAACATATTTATTTAATAAAGATGATTCGAACCATGAAAAAATATCACAAAAAAATTCTTAACACATGAATTTTCATTAGTCTTCAAACAAACCTGCGCGGGAACGCGCGCGCACACATGCACAAGATATATATATTTTTTTTACATTCAACATCATCACTTGATAAGACACCGAGAGTGTTGAAACAAAATGGCTATTTTTGTAGTGATTTTATAACATATTTATGTTATAAATTTTTTTTTAAAATAAATAATTATATATATATATATATATATATATATATATATATATAAACGTGTTAAGTCAATTAGAAGAAAAAATGACCAAATAATTACTCCTGATGATCCACAGGTGAAAGTATATTTTAAAAAGTTTAACTTTGTCTTTATTTTCTGTTTTTTTGAGCCTATATTGTGAACTTTTTTATTCGCGTGGCTTTTTCTCAAAAGAGCAAGAATTTGACATTTTCTTTTATTAATTAGAATTAGAGAAGTATTTGGTACTTGAATTACCAGTCTTAGTGGAAATTCTAACTGACTGACTGGTTGGTGTTTACAAGTATGATGTCATCTATAATGTCTTCAGGCAGTCTTATGTAAGAAGGATTCAACATGAATCGAACCCCCGACCATATTCTTTCCACGCCCACTTCGTTAACAGGACAGGCTAAGGCTATCATGGCGAGTTGGTGTAATTCTGAACGAGTTTGACCGAAAGTCTCCCAGAATTGGATAACATTTGCCGAAGACTTTTCTCTCTGTCTCTCTTCGTAAGACTTGAAATGAGACGACAGGAAACTGACACTCGATATGGTTTCGACAATATTCCGATCTTTTGATCTGAGAAATATCTCCAAGTCGTCTTCAAGAGAAATTCCTAGCTCTGTTTCCTCATCATTTGGGTTCTTGGCTTCCGTTTGCAATCTACTCACGTGGCATTTTGCCATCCATACACGTTCTAAATGTTGCCGAGCCATTTCTGTTTGATCCCCAGTGAGGATAACCCGGATTCTCGGATCCAGATAGACGGCAGCCAAAAATGCTTTGTTCTTCTTCATCTTCTCTTCCGCCTTTTTCATGTGTTCGGCGATGTTACGTGCGTATTCGGTGTTCAGTTTTTTTGTCTCCATTTTGCATTTCAGCCACTCTTTATAAAAATCACCGATCGTTAATTGTGGATCGTCGGTTCGAGCCGAAAACGCCATCAGTGGCGTGAAAGCTTGAATAAAATTCTCCATTTTGTCCCACTCCGTTTGTGAGACATTTAATTCTGGGCTAATCGCCCCCATCTCGTTAATGACTTGCCGCAGTTCGTTATCGTAGAGTCTCTTCACCATTGCAAACGTGCTTTTCCATCTGCTTCGGCGATCAACAATCGCGAGTCTTGTGCCTTTTGATTTAAGAATAGCCATGGCGCCTTTCGTTCGTAATTTATTAGAAATATATCTGGCCTTTTCAACCAGTTTCTTCGAGTCTGGTTGCATAGTGAAAGTACTTTGAGCTATTGATTGTATTGTACTTGTTAAGCATTCAATGTTTACATTCAACAAACTCTCGCTATCTATTTCTTTGTCAGATCCAAACGCGTCGCGGAGAGACACACTAACAGTAATAGCCGTCTCTTTGTCGCCATTGTTTTCTTCATCGTTACATTCGTTCTCTGTGTCCGATTCGTTTTCATTCCGACTGTTCGTCTTCCGGAAAGCTTTTAACGAATTAGAACTATTGTCTATCGTCATCGTATACAGTTGTTCTTTTCCAATACCGTAGTCACTCAAAAGACACCAGATAATCTGTTTAAGCTCGCGTCCGCTATGAACGGTCGAAATCTCCTTGACGCCGAGAATTCGAAACTGCTTTCTTCCGCCTTTCACGTAGTGGACACTGATTCCAATAAAAGGCCTGGATTTTCGGCAAATGACACTCACTTTCAATGAAACCAACCTCTCAAACACGTCCCCAGAAATGCTCTCCCTGATCTTTCTAGCTCGTTCCATCACCTCCTGCCTGAGCATTTCTTCATCCAGAGACAAGTTGAGTGCTTCAAGCAGAGGGCCGACTAACATCTTCATCCCGGATTCTGAGACAATTTTGAAATGTTGGCCATCTGAGATAATCATCTTAACAAATGCGTCCATTAGAATTGTTTTGTTCATCTTGAGGGTGATAATCGACTGTTCCTGATTTCGGCCCCGTCGCGGTCTCACCGATCTTATTAAAGACCACGTGCTAGGACCACTGGCCGAAGCGTCCTTTTCAAGGCTGGTTTCTCCTTGGTTCTTTTCTTTGAAATCGTCGGAAGGTATCCGGGGGTCGTTCTCGGGATGTCCCTGAAGATATACAAATATAAATTCCATCCCAATCACGAAAGAAATCCTACTTTAAGAGAAAGAAAGTTCATTATTGTGATTTCTCTGTTTTCCAAACTATTGAGAAAAAATCTCATTGCTTATCGATATTTGTCACTCAGCTGACTGTGGGAGCACCGACGAGGTGGTGCAGAAAAGTTCTCGACCCTACCAAGAGTGGAATACGCTAGAGCAGCGTTTTCTCAACCGTTGCACCCAGGCGCACTGACGCCCTGATAAATAGCCAAGTTAACAAAAAAGTAATTTATTAATTATTTTTTTGTTAAAAATCTTTAAAAAGCAAATGACACCAAGCACATAGATCCTGTGTCTAAGTCTTTGTTATTTTAAATTCGATGTTAAATTCCTTAATCTTCAAGAAGGAGTGGATAATCCTTTCCCTTTTGCCTTCCTCAAGGGATTTAAATCAGTCATTATCGGTCTCTCTAAAAAAAATAAAGATATTTTTCATAAATTTAAATACGGTACTGCTATTTTTCTTAAAGAATGCTAAATACAAAATGACTAAAAGTCATTTTCTTTGCTAAAGCACATCAAGCAGACTTAAATATACAATGTAATGTCTTAAAAAATAAACGCCTATTTCAGGAGGTTTCTTTATTGTTTTCCTATTTTCAAAATTCATAACTAATTTTTTCTCACTAAAATTCAAAGTAGGCCC